GCTAAGGCATGACGCCTTCAAACAGCAAACTGCTGTGTTAAACTTTCTCTATTTTTTTTTCTTCTAAAATTCCTTTTTAAGCCCTCTCAGGTTTTACATGGAGTTAGTTGACCATGTTGAAGCACCAACTGTTGTATGGAGAGGGCTCCTTGAAGGCAAAGGTGTAAGTCAAAAACAATCCCACACCAGTTTAGAATTATGATTAATAGAATGGTTATTTATTTAAAGGGGAAAAAACGTACAGATCACCGTCCCAGACAACAGCCCTCTGCACAATCAGGAAGGGAGTCTAGTTGCCGGAAGCGGAGCAGGAAGTAATAGAGAGCGAGAAGGGAAGTGGCCGCTTTTTTAAAGGGAGAGAGACCAGGCCCCAATGGGCTGGTATCTCAGCGGTTATTGGCTGGAGGAGCAGAAGGACCTCCCGCAACAGCCCCTTGTTTGTTCCTTCTGCCTGGCTAACTTACACCCGAAATAACCACGCAGAAACTGTATTAATTTAAACACTGCCTTGCCCATTAGCTCTAACTTCTTATTGGCTAACTCTTACATCTTGATGTAGCCCATTTCTATTAATCTATGTATTGCCACGTGGCTGTGGCTTACTGGCAAGATTCTAACCGGTGTCTGTCTGAGATGGAGGATCCATGGCTTCTCCTGACTCTGCTTTTCTTCCTCCTAGCATTCAGTTGTGTTTTCTCTGCCAACCTAAGTTCCACTCTATCAACTAGGCCAAGGCAGTTCCTTTATTCATTAGCCAATAAAAGCAATACATGAACAGAAGAACCTCCTACACCACATGATCCTTGGTCCCCTTTCTCTCATATTGTCACTACTTCCTGTCTGCCACTAGGTATTGTTTCCTCTGCCTCCATGATCAACTGACCCTTTTGAAACTGTGAGTCAGAGGAAATCCTTCCTTGGGTAATACGCTACTCTAAGGTAGTTGTAAACTGAAACACAGAAGTAACAGACCACTCTAGTGTACACCATCATCACCATGACTCTGTTGAGCTTTGTGATGATCAGAGGCCCCTGAAAGTGGCATTCATAACATCTGGCACCCATGTCCTGACCCACAAAGTAAGTCTTGGTAAATAAAGGAGACCCTGCTAAATACTGGGCAAGCCAAATGAACCTCAGTGGGATTTCTTAGATTCCCAAAATTTGAACCTCCAGTGGAGACATTTAGGGGCTCCATGCCATGGAGTCTCACTGGTACCCCACCATCCTCGAATCTGACTACTCCAGTTTGTATTCTGTTTCAGTGCTAGCCTGATCCACAAAGGAATAACACCTGTACCCAGTACACATAGGGGACTGGAACTACCTGACCCTACTTGGAACAGAGAATATCTCATCTGGCAGTATTTTTCCAGAAGCAGGTGTTACTATTCTAAAACTTTCACCAGTTATGATGGGCTTAAAGGTTATCTGCTGTCAAGTCCTTTCTGCCAGGAAATATATATTTGTATATATATATATATATATATATATATATATATATATATATACTGTATATTGTATATAGGCCAATGTCTAGCATCATGCACACCTTGCAGAAAGGTAAAAAGACCCCAAGGTGGCCCTGATGTTAATATTTTATAATAGCATAACTGATGCTATTTATTTACCACCCTCAATCCTAAATCTGGGCTGCCTGTGAGCCCAAGAACATAGAAGGCACCTATCACTACAGGTAGACACTGTACACGCAGAGAACTCTCTAAAATCTTGAAAACATTCCTGTGGGGCTTGTAGCTAGCACTGGCCTGGTGTTACCCACTGACTTATGGGCACATAAATATCTAGGGTCTGGTTTTTGTGGCTAATTGCTAGCCCACCTATACAATACCACAGTATCTTTATCTTCAGTGTACAGCTATTCCTCTACACTATCACACACAAGGCACGTTGTACTATCAGGACAAGACATAATGTGGTCCTGTGTTTGTAGTCCTCCTCTGACCCATCTTCATATTAGTTTTCATGACTGACTCCTGGATCTGGCCCAAGAGCTGGACTAATCTTCAAAGCCCATTGGCACAGCCAGCCAACCCTTAAATCCCAAAGGATGACTATGGCTCAGACAACACCCATATTCCAGGCTCCTGGGTCACAGTTGTCTTCTCCCTTGTTCTCCACATCACAAGTAGTAAAGCACTCCTCACATGGTTTACATGCATACTCCCACCTTAGGAATACAAACCCCATTAACATTAGGGCTCCATCTTGTCCCTTGGACCTCCAGTGGAGAAGCTACTGCTTAGGGATAGCCCTGTGCTAACCAACACATACACATCACTGTAGCTACATCTCCTAATGTCAGACCTCTTATCTGCTCTGGTGATCATGCCACCTTCTTTGCCGTGAATATGGATCAGGAACCACATAATTGCACATGGCTGTTTGGTTTCTCATGCTTACATGCTGTAACATACTCCTCTTCCCCACATGTGAAAGGAATCTGAGCAATACAATATTTGAACAGTAACTGACTCATTTGCCCTGCCTCTGACAACTCATGTCCCATATCCCACCTTGCTAAACTCTCTCTTAGCAGCTTCACCCACAATCTGCCAACCCAGATTTCCCTGCTCCTTTCTCCATGACTGTAATGTGCTGCAAGAGACAGATAGCTCCTTCGGCACTATTCAAAAACCTCCCAGGCTTTTCCTGTCTCGAATGTTTTCCAGCATTTGCCATACTCTTGTCTCCTTCAGGGGCTAACCTCATGTTGAGTGTGCCTGGGTGAGCAGTAAATATTCACATCATGTAACCTAGTGCTAGATGAAGTGTGTGAATTATCTTGATTTTCATACACATCTTCTAAGGACAGGGAATCATAGAGCTGGCAGCTGGCCAGAATATCCCCTCTGTAGTAGGGGTGGGATATATTCATCTGCAAGTTGGATAGCGTTAGAAACAGGGAAGTATTATGGATCTGCATGATGCTGACGAATCTTAAAATCATTATACTGAGAAAAAGAAGTCAGGTAAAAGAACATCTAATGGTTCAATAAGTAAACGGGTACAGAATGGGCAAAATTTATGCGGATACAAAGAAGAAAGGTAGCTATGCCTGGGGAAGGCAGTGGGTACTGATTAGAAAGGAACATGGGGGAATTCTGGGAGTGATTTAAGTTATCTCTATTCTGATCTGTGCTTTAGCTACAAGGTCCAGTGCATTTTGCAATAATCAGCTACCTGTAGACTTCCCACCTGCACTTGTTCGTTTTACAGTATGTAACTGATGCTTCAATTTGAATTATCTCAGCACAAAACTAACCTCACACAGGTCTGTCTGCAAGCTTTATTTCTGACTTTATATTTCCACTCAAATCCTCAATCTCTCCCTCTTTCTTGATTTTGTTTCTGTTTTGATGGTGTTAGTTGAATTTAAGACTTTGCACCTGGAAATCATGTGTTCCTAAAATGCAAAGACTCCCTTTTAATTGTTGAATTTAAGAGATTTAGAATTCTATTCATCATGATCATTTTATGTTAGGGCTTATTAGACCTGTACTATGCCATCACCTCTGGACAATGCATCGGTTAACAATCCTCAATATTTCAAGCTTCCCTGAAGAAAAGGAGGATAACATATCAATGGAAGATTTTCTAGTAGATGGGAGAGCGATGTGCGTAAACCTGTTGTTATGTCATGGTGGAAGAGAAAAGAAACGAGGGAAACATGCATGAATACAAATTGTCTAGAGATACACTAATTGAAGCGAGGTGTTTGTGTACATGCCTGCAACCCCAGCATGGTAGGCAGTGGTAGACAATCACAGTAAGTAGAGGCCAGCCTGGTCTACACAGTGAGTTCCACATGTCAGACCTAGTCCCATTCCCCAAAGGTAGAATACCTAGACTAGGATTGATTGTGTTGCATCGAGATAAATATATCAACAATCTTTACAAATCCCAGATCCCAGACCTAAAGCAATGTAGACATGTAATTTGGTAAGTTTAGATAATATTTATACTAAGACTCAAAAATATCAGTGCATACTTCAATGCTCACCGAAGAAATCCCTTTAGCCTGACCTTTATGCACTTACACTAACTGATGTACAACAGTTTGTCATGTGATGCTTGCTCTTTTTTGTTACTAAGCGGTATAAAATTGCTCCAGGAAATTGTCTTCGACACAGGATCACAACTAGCCCAGGCTAGCCTGGAAATCACTATGGTAAAGATTCTGGCTTTGTACTACTTCTGATTCTCTTGCAAGTCCCTCTCATTTGTTGAGTACAGATGTCTGCCACCATGATCAACACTCCACATTTGTAACCAAATAATATATTTTTCATGTCAATGTATATATATTCATCTCTCTCAATATATATGCCTAGATCTTTTAATTGGCATGTGGTATTTAAGCACAATGGAAATGGTTAAAACATTCTTCTCATGAATATTTTATTTTACTAGTTATTTTCACTTTCCCAGTTATTCCACATAACACGGCAATAGCAATTCTCCTTCACAGCACCAATTATGGGACTGTTTCTCTGGGATTACTGTTGTAGACTGGGCAAACACAGTACAGATCATCTAGCTCACTGATTTTCACCTAAATAATACTTATTCTGGATTTTGAAATTGCCTCCTACAAGTCTTCCTCTCCACACAGAAAAAGCACACACTAAACAGTCTTTGCTGCTGCTCTGAGATTCAAACCTGCCTGGACACCCTGTATTTTTTTTCTGGCAACCAGAGCCAGGATGCGCATCTGCATGTGAACACCTCTGGTGAGTGCTTATTCCCTGAAAACATCAGTAAATGTCATGAACTCATTTCCAGTCTTCTATCACATTCGATGGCCAATATGTTGGGTCACACCTGTCTCTGTTTCCACCTGAATGTTTCCCTGGGTTTAACCACTTAAAAAATAGTTGTCACTACTTCAATTCCTGCCTGACTGAGGACAGATTGGTGACATGTTTTTGTTTTGGTTGTTGTTGTTTCTGCCTCTTGAATTTCTAGAGCATGCGAACATGAGCTGTATGTGGCAATGGTGTGGGTTGGAGTGCCTTAAGTCTCAGCAACAGCATATAGAGTGATGCACAGAGCAGGACAGACCTGGGACTCCATCCCTTCCCTATGAGCATGGCTAGCAGCAGGCTGCTGGCAGTGTGGGTTGTTGTATGGTGGCTCTTCTGCAATTGCAAGTGCATTGGCCTTGGCTTTTTGCCTGTTCTTGGACTGCAGAACACAGTCTCATCTGGTTGTGGGCAGAGGTAAGTGGCAGACATCTCGCTGGGCTGATGGTTGATTTTATCAGGGGTGAAGTAACGAGAAGGCACAGTTTCTCAGTGGAGGTGCCTGGGCTCCAGTCCAGAACATAGGTGAAACCCGTCAAGTGTCCAACTGCCTGTGCTTAGTGACCAAGGCAGAGAAGACTGTGTACTGCTGGCAGAATTTTAATGAGTGCACAGTCAGAGGTTCCAGCATGTTCCCTTGGCTTGCTTTCTTCTTCTTTTCTTTCTTGTTTTTAACAGTTAAAAGCCACCCAAAGAGAAACGATGTGAATCATTGATACTGAAACACCTTTGAGTGGGATTTAAAATTCCTGTCCAAATAAAACTCCACAGGGTTTTGTTTAGTGGAAAATTTTTCTGGTGATGATTATCTTGCGGGTGAGGGTCCAATCTGGAGGCAGAGACAATGCTGTTATGTGGAGTATAAGATTGCCTGAGCAGTCAAGAGAGTGAAAAAGCACCTTTAAGAGTTCAAAAGTTATGGCTACAAAAGAGTAGTTCCTACCTGTAGGATGAGAAAGGACAGAGGTCGCGGGAGTAAGAGAAGGCACTCCCTCCCTCCCTGGCTGCAATCAGACCTCTTGGAGACAGCATGGATGTGAAAAGATCTTTTTGTCCCGGGATGGAGAAACTTGCCAGAGAATAAGGGTCTGTGTGACTCTATAGAAGAGACCTCCATTGCAGAGTTGTGGAGCGTGGTGGTCCATGGAGGGGTGAGTCCCCCAGGGGCAGTGTGGTGGTTTGATTAGGTATGGCCCCCATAGACTCGTGTGTTTGAATGTTTGGCCTATAGGAAATGGCACTATTAGGAGGTGTTGCCTTGTTGGAGCAGGAGTGGCCTTGTTGGAGGAAGTGTGTCACTGTGGGGGTGGGCTTTGAGGTCTCATATGCTGAAGCTACACCCAGTGATGTAGCCTCCTTCTGCTGCTGTAGATCAAGATGTAGAATTCTCAGCGCCTTCTCAGAGCACCATGTCCACCTGCATGCCCCACCATGTCCTGCCATGATGATAATGAACTAAACCTCTGAAACTGTAAGCCAGCCCCAATCAAATGTTTTCCTTAGAAGAGTTGCCTTGGTCATGGTGTCTTTCACGGCAATAGAAACCCTAAGACAGGCAACCATGGGAAGGCGAGCAAGCCCTGAGGGGCAGCTGGAGTTTATCTGTGCTGACCTCTGACCTCCCCACAGTGAACACCCTAACCTGGATGCTGGAATGGAAGGGAAGTACGTCCCTGCTGGGACTTGCCGGACCACTCCAGTGTTTGACACCTACAGCACCTAGCGCTTGCTTAGCTGGCACAGGAGAAAGGGTAACCGTTACCAGCTCCTCTGCCACCAGGCCGGACAAAGGAAAACTGATTTGGACCAGGACAAACAATAGATAGGAAATGAACTCTAGGGACATCAGGAACCCACAACCTACTGCATTTAGTTTAAAGGCACTAGATTCCCTCTGGATAAAGACAACAGCAGAAATTTCATAGGAGGAACATTAGACAACAAAGTATCACAGTCCTAGTCAGAGTGACTAGAAAGAAGAAAGCCATAAAGGAACTGCAGCATGCAATGAACACCCACTGAGAGCGAATTCCAGTTAAGGGCAGTTGTTGTTCATATGGCTTTATAGCAGATCAGTTAAAGATAGGAGACAACCGGGCTTCTGACATGTCAAAAATAATTAGAACACACGGTGGGGAAATATCCAACTCAGAGCAACAGTAAAACAAAAGGGGGCATTGAAAAACATCAGAAAAATGCAATAGGTACTCAAGGCAACTTACAAAGAAAACTGAAGTACCCTGAATAGAAGCCAGAATCAATGGCAGGACGTACGTTTTTGTGGTTGATAACCTGCACATTTTCCAGATGCTAACTGTCCTTGGTGCTGAGCTCTACATACCCGGCTATCCTGGTGCAAATCAAGCCATGGACGTCTTGATATTAGCAAATTTTGACCATGATATTCATATAGAGGACAAGATTTTTCAAAAGATTTGAAAACAGAATAATGAGGGGAAATTATTTTATTCAGACGATAAAACATGCTCAAGTCTCCATAACAGGAGGAGCAGCAATAAAATGCCAGCAGCGGGAGAAATTTGAAAAACAGAAGCATCGGCATCATGTGGAAATTCAGGGACCATTTCATAGGGATACAGAGCCAGTCGTAGACATTAAGAAAAAGAGGCTGATAGCTTACTGTCTAGAAAGGGTAGGCTTTAAACGGAATTCTAACCTGTTGGACACGCTGCAACAAAAAGAGCCAACGGCTGGGGTGGAGAAATCTTCTGGTTCCTTGTGGGCTGCCTGGGAGCTGACCTCTGTGCTCAGGGTTTATTGAAGGTTCCTGAATGTCAGATGACAGGCCTGAGGAAAGAAAGTACTGTGTGGGGGAACAAAGAGGTCCAGTGAAGTGGGAGGCAGAGGACTAAGTAAACAAAGATGCCATGGGCTCTGGAAAGTTAGATTATACTTAATGTCTCTCTGGACTGTGTAGTGGAGAGGCCACATACCGAAAGGGCATGCGACCACCGCAGCCCTCCCAAGTGGAGCACGCCTAGAGGAAGCAGGAGGGCCTGTTGCTGGAGAAAGGCCTCCCTCCACTCAGGAGCAGAGCCATCTGTCTCCTAGGGAGCTGGCTCCTCGAGGAGCAGGGGGAGGGAGACACAGGTGATCCCAAAGGACCGATTCTTCCCAGTAACAGCCAATAGGGAGGAAGGCAGGCTTGCTTTGAGTGTGGTCCCGAGGCTTCTGGTCTCTTGAAAGGCTGGCCTCAGCGGCCCCCACCTCTGGGAGCAGCGCCCCCGCACCCTTCCGGCCCGGGGCTGCAGTACCGTCCCCGGCCGGCAGAGGCGCTGCGGGGCGGCGCCAGCGCGTTCCCACAGGTCGCGGCGGAGGCTGCGCCCCCTCCCCTGCCCGCTTCCTGGTCCTCGGGGTGTGAGGGCCGCAGCCTGGGACTCCAGACCCAGGGGCTGCGGGTGTCCTCGGCGGCCGCCTCAGCGTCCGCGGCGACGTCACGGTCCTCGCGGCCTCGCAGCCAGCGCTCGGGCCGGCCGCCTAATGCCCGTGGACGCGCATCTCCTCCCCGAGTTCCTGCTTCCCGGGCCAGCCAAAGCCGCAGGTGAGAACGTCCGCGGTAGAGGTGGCACCCAGGGCCTGCGGGTCTCAGAGGGCCCCTGGCCTCCTTCTCTCCTCCTTGCCCAGGAAACCCCGCGGGGGCGCCGGCAGCGGGGACGCTAAGTGCTGCCCGGAGCCCCAAGAGCATTTCTTCTGAGGCACGTAGCCCCCCTCCCCCGCCCAGGTGCTTCTGCGAGCTCCTTTGTGGACCCCCCAAGCCCCTAGGGGATCCCCCGCCGAGCACCCCGCGGGCCCCACCACCCCTGGCGCGCATGCCCAGAGCCCTGGGAGCTAGAAAGTAGCTGAGCTGCTGGCGCAGTACCTGCTGGCTAAGAACGCGAAGACTGTGTGGATCAAAAGGGCAGACATGCTGAAGTGTGTCATCCTAAAGGTGCAGGAGCTTCTTCCCCGAGATTTTCAAGAGAACCTCTGACCTCCCCGAGTTAGTCTTTGGGTCTAGGTGAAGGAACTTGGCCCTCCAGAGCACGCCTATGTCCCTAACAGGAAAAAAAAAAAAAATCAGCCTGCCCTGCCTTGGGGGCCTGACAGGCGACCAGACCAGGGCAAGCACGCCAAAGACTGGGCTTTCTGCTGAGTATCCCGGACTTGATCTTCGTGCAGGCCAGCTGTGTCCCAGAGGAGGTGTTCGGGGAGGTGTGGAGGGTGCTGGAGGTATGCTCGCCTAAAAAGCATCCCGTCCTTGGGGAGCCGTCACCAAAGGGAATGGCCAGAGCTTGTGTGCAGCACAAGTTTGTGGTGCACGAGTAGGTGCCCTCCAGCAGTCCAGTGCTGTCTCTCAGTATTCTTGTGGGGCCCTCCAAGGAAACAAGACAGATGGAAGGCCAGGAGTTTGTGGCCCAAGTGAATGACACCCGGCCCAGAGCCTTGGCTGTGGCAGTAAATGAGGCCTTGAAAGAAGAGGAGGAAGTGCCCAGTGCTCACAGTGCGGTGGCCGAGAAGCAGCTGCTGGTGATGATGTGACAGGTGCGAGAGTTAGTGCGAGTTCCAGTTCCAGGGCCCCTGCCGTGGCTGAAGCAAGCAAGCATCAGCACCAGTGCCAGGGCAAGTGCCAGGGCCAGGGCTAGAGCCATGCCGGAGTGATGGACAGTGCAGGGGCCAGTCACCATCTCAGGTCGGAGTCTGGGCTTCTGCCGCCACCAGGGATGGCTGAGGCTTCCTTGCTTTTGTTGTGAGTAGTCAAAGGGGTGCTGGAGCAGTAGGCCCTGTGGCTCTGATTAGGAAGTGCAGGGCTAGAGCAGGGTGAGGAAGGACACATAGCATTCTGCTCCAGGGCTGTGCTTCCTGGTGACTTAGTGCCTAGTCTGCACATGGCAAGGTTGTGCTTTCTCTGTAGCTACCCTCTTTCTCATTGAGAAACAGTTGCGAAGCCTCAAGGCATGAGAACTAAGTGATGAAGGCTGAGGATGTGGCTGAGTGGTAGAAGACTTTCCTCAAATGGGCAAGGCTGTGGGTTTCATCCCCGCAGCCATAAGATAAGTCAAAAGTGCCTCGATATGTACATGTCAGATCAGAGTGGAAGCAAAGGCATAGTAAAACATTTCCCAAAGCCTTGCTTTTCTAGACGTATGATTAAGTATGAGCGTCCACGGTTATGCTTGGCATACATCCAGGGTTTCTTTGTTCCTTATTTACGGGAGATTTCTTTGTTTATACAAAACAATTGTGACACTGTCATTTTATGTCTGAAACATCCTGGGGTCGAGTCAGTAGCTCCTTGAGATGCTGACGGAAGTCGTAACGCTGTGATTCCCCCTCCAGATATTCAGAGGTAAAACACAAATGTGGCCAACACCTGGCACAGCAGAACCAGCTAATGTTTACTTGTATTCACCTAGAGCTCTGGAATGTAGGGGAAAATAAAATTGAACTAGACACCTTGCTCATGGACTCATTTATTTAACCCGTGTCCTAGTGACCATTATGTGAGGCACTGTGTTGGGCACTGGAAGAGCAAGGCAGCAGACTCAGGCTCTGCCCCACATCTGAGAGTCTAGTTGGGGCTCTCAGTGTAAATAATTGAGGTAGATGCGGCAGGCAGGCTTGACCGGGGTGGTCAGGGAGCCCAGAGGACAGGCATCTGGGAGGCAGCAGGCTTCATTGGCATTAGGTAACGGCCCCCAAGAGAGGCAGCACTAGAGATGTAAAAACTGCCAGTGACCCCCTGTCGGGATGTTGTGGACAACTGGTGGACTCCCTGCTTCCGTGGAACTGGAAGGCTAGAATTAGAGGATACTGGAGGGATGGTGAGAGGGCAAGAACACGTGTGCAGGAGACACACTCTCGAGTTGTGGCCGAGAGAGGAGATAAATGAGGATCAACTGGGACTAGACACTCTTGACTTGGGGTTTGCCAGAGGGAAGGCCCACCAGCAGCAGCTGTGGTCCGTGCTCTGGACTCTGGCTCACGTGCAGCTCATTCCCTGCACACTCTGGGTCCTTGACCCGTCCTTTCCAATGAGTGGCAGGAAAGGAGCTGTAGTAGTGGGAGCGGAGGGGCTGCTTCCCGCCACCCGGCTAGCTTTACCCGAAATAATTACACAGAAACTGTATTCTTTTAAACACTGCTTGGCCCATTAGTTTTAACGTCTTATTGGCTAGCTCTTACATATTGATCTAACCCATTTCTAATATTCTGTGTAGCCCACGAGGTGGCTTACCAGGAAAGATCTTAACCTGAGTCTATCTGGAGTGGGAGAATCATGGCGACTGCTTGACTCGGCTTCTTTCTCCCAGCATTCTATTCTGTCTACTCCGCCTACCTAATTTCTGTCCTATCAGGGCCAAGGCAGTTTCTTTATTAATTAACCAATGAAAGCAACACATAGAAAGTAACACTTACATCAAGGAGCAAGTGCTTCTTCACCAGAACAGAGAGTGTCCCCTGAGGCAAGGGCACAAAGCAGAGGTTGTCTCCTGAGGCCTGGGAGAGCCAGTGTGTTATGAGGGCAGTGGTAGGATTACAGTGAGGTTCCATAAGTTGGAAAAGAAAAAGGCTTGTGTGGGGGCAGCTGTAAAGCTTTCTGTTGGTGTTGTGGACCACTGTTGACAGAAATGAGAGAGAACTATGTCTTAGCAGAGCCAGCATAAGCCTTGGTGGCCAGACCGCAGCACCAATCCAATCTGGTTGGGCTACAGAGGTTTTCATGAATAGAGAGGGATCTGATGAAAGTGTAGCTCTACCCAAATGTTGGGGGAGGCCACTTGTTTCATTCCTGCCTGCTGAGTCCTGAAATAATCACATAGAAACTGTATTAATTAAATCACTGCTTGGCCAATTACTTAAGCATATTGCTAGCTAGCTCTTAGAATTAACCCATCTCTATTATTTTATATTTTACCACGATGCTTGTAACCTACTGGCAAGGTTCCAGTGTATCTGTCTCTGGCAGCTCCATGACTTCTCTCTGACTCTGCCTCCTTTCTCCTAGCATTCAGTTTAGTTTTCCCTGCCTATCTAAGTTCTGTCCTATCAACAGGTCAAGACAGTTTCTTTATTCACCAATGGTATTCACAGTATACAGAGGGGAATCCCACATCCCCTCCCCCTTTTTGTTTAAGTAAAAGGAAGGTTTTAATTTTTTTATTTTAATGAAAAAATTTCTGCCTCCTCCCCACCTCCCATTTTCCTCCCCCTCCCTCCACTCCTCCCCCCTCCGCCCACTCCTCTCCCCCTCCCCCCCATTCCTTTCCCCCTACCTCTCCAGTACAAAGAGCAGTTAGGGTTCCCTGCCCTGTGGGAAGTCTAGGTCCTCCCCCCTCCGTCCATATCTAGGAAGGTGAACATCCAAACTGGCTAGGCTCCCACAAAGCCAGCACATTACGTAGGTTCAAAACCCCGTGCCATTGTCCTTGACTTCTCATCAGCCCTCATTGTTTGCCATGCTCAGAGAGTCCGGTTTTATCCCATGCTTTTTCAGTCCCAGTCCAGCTGGTCTTGGTGAGCTCCCAATAGATCAATCCCACTGTCTCAGTGGGTGGGTGCACCCCTCTTGGTCCTGACTTCCTTGCTCATGTTCTCCCTCCTTCTGCTCCTCATTTGGACCTTGGAAGGTTTTAATTTTAACATATTAAAATTACATATAACAAAACAGGTATCAAGCACGAATTACAGTTATAATATTTATATCTACTTTATCTTTTTTCATAACTAAGGAAAACTATATTATTACTATCTACTCTTCAACTCCATCAAAGACTTCAGGAAGGATGTAATATTACCTAAGTAAACAGGGAATACATTGTAAAAAACTTCCAGAACTCTAGAATTGACAGAAATCTCACTGCCTGGACAGTCACCCAAAGTTCTTCTGTACTGTTGGGGCATCCATCTTCAGCCTACAAGTCCATAGTATCCTGCAGACTTTTCCATTCAGCAAGAAATTTCAAAGATACTTCTGCGTATATTAGCAGTTTTTCAGTTACTTTCTTCTGTATTTCTGCAGAATGTTTGGCAGACTCTTTCATGACGCAGGAACCCTGAAGGATCATCTCACCTATGGGCAAGTTCAGCAGATATATCTTTGCGGCACCTACATGTCCAGTTCATCAAGCAGTCCAGGCAAGAGCAGTTTCTTTCCCAAATGTCTAGCCAACTCCAAAAGGAGCCTCTTTGATACCCATCATCCTCTTGAAATATATTAATGCTACCAGGAGCATATGTGTCTCATTGTCATGAAAAGTCCTAAGCTCTTAAAACATTTTAAATGCCATATTCTGTAGTCTTTTAAATGTTTGAAGAATGCTTATCTATCTGAAATATATCTCTATATATCTAGAAAACCTAACTAATATGACTACAAGTTTGACTATTATAGATGATTCTCTATTATATTTCTTAATTATATATTAAATTTTTAAATGAGCTGGACAAACACAATATCTTAATCAAGAACAAAAATGCATATACACAGAATAACAAAATTATCCTTAAATTTTTATCAATAAACCAAGATCCATACCAAATGCAAATCTCTATAACATATCT